CTCCCAAACAACCTGTTTATTATCAAATCAAACCAAGACAAACAGATCTCATTAACGAAAAGACTCTACTAAGAAATGCAGAGTGAATTAGAGGTGTATATGCAGGGGTTCAGAGGTCACAGACGCCCTTTTTGGTTTCAAAAAGTCGTAGGCTTCTCTTGTGACTAACTTACACCCCCTGGTGGTTGAAAATATATGGCACTTGGCGTAGGTGCAATATTTAAAATGGTCCAGTAGGGGTCAGAGTAAACGCACTTCTTTGGGTATCATCCAAAGAGCGTGTTCTCAGTATTTTGGGGAACGTTTTATTTGATGGTAAACGCGAGACAGTATCAGGCTTAATGAGTTAACACGTAAAACTGACTTCAGCCCCTCGCACCACCTTAAAACTAGAACCCACGTGCTGGAAGTAGTGGGGGCACCAACCTCCTTGCAGGTAAACCGCTTTAGGAGTAACGTTGCTGTGAAAGGTTCAGACTGTAAGGCGGCTACAGACATTGTTGTCATGGTTACAATGTGACAGATGACCCACTGCTATTGGTTGTCATCCTCTTTTTCTAGTCGCCTTTGTTTGCTTTGCCCCCCCGCCCCAAAGCAAGTGATGCAATCCGATTCCTGCTGCAGGCCAGGCAATGTCAATCTGCTATTGCTATTTTGACCTCTCAGTAAATCCCGAGAGCTCAATTTAGATTAAAAGGTGGGTTATATTTTAATTGTGATGCTTTTACTTCCGCAACAAAACAACCATTAGAAACAATAAAAACGTCTCTCCCTCCTATATGCTTATGCTTATATGTGCATTGAATCAGAGAAAGATGTGGCGCAAATATGACCTGAACAACGAGCCGTTTATTTAAAAAAGTGTGATCTCATAACGACAGCAACATGAATAATTAATGCTCCTACTTCCCACTCTCTCTTTGTACTACAAGTTTAATGACATGATTTCCATTAGAAAATGTCAGCCCGTGAGATTACCTCAGCGTCGTCTCTAACCAAGAGAAGCTAATTGAATAAATTAATCATCGGGAGATCGTCGATCCACTTGTTGCTTTCCAGGATTTGTTCCTCAGTGAATTAGGTTTTATAGAGGTACACCCTGTGCATCCCAGATTAGCACCTGCACCCTTTGTGTTAGATAACATATACACAGCAACAGCTTGAAATTACTTAATATGCTAATAATATTTACACCCTCCATGCTTTCCACTGCCAGCTTCTTTTTTTTCTTTTTTTTTTAGCTGCAAGCAACAAACAGTGGAAAGAACAGTAAAACTTTACTAGGGCATTTTGTGTGACAGACAGTAGTCTAGACAATACATGCAGTACTTCATGGAAAGTGCAGTACAAGAAAATATTTATACTGTCATGAAGGGAAAAGATTCAATGAGCCAAATGGCAGTCTAAAGACAGAAAGACAGGACTGTGGACGAGAGCGAGAGATTAATGATAACTAATGATTAAATAAAGAGTAGTGTATAAACACATGGAGAGTGAAAAGAAGTAAGAAAAGAACAGACACTAAGTGCATAATGGGAAGCCCCCAGCAGCCTATTGCAGCAGGACTAAGGGAGGGTTTACGGTCACGTGATCCAGCCCTAACCATAAGTGTCATCAAAAAGGAAAGTTTTAAGCTTAATCTTTAGACTAGAGAGGGCATCTGTCTTTTGAATGCAAACTGGAAACTTGTTCCATAGAAGACGAGCCTGATAGAAATGCAACATATAGCATCTGCATTTTAACCAAAATGTAGCTAGAACCGTTCCCGAAAGTTCAATTTTGGCACTCATGTATTGATATCAGCTAATAAGTGAAAACTAACTAACCAAAATGGAAACTGGATAAAGGACAAACAACAGATTTCACTGCACCTCTGAATTCTTAATAACCATGAGCCACACGCCGTGCACAGACAGCAGGGACAGAATGCAGTGAAACTTTCCATCCGGCTTCCAGCGAATGAATGCACAATGAGAAGACTTCTGTTCATCCACAGATTGGCTTTCACATAATTGGGCTGTTTAATTCTCTTTCTACTGACATATTTTACATGCATGCAGCACCGACTGGGGCTCCTGGCCTCACCCAGGAGTTATCCCGATTGCAATATTGCATATTTTTATACCAAGTAAATCAGTACCTGTATTGCTGATACCAATACCAATACTGATACTTTTTTTTATATAAAGGCAGCATATGTAGGGGACAGCAGTGTGTCATGACTTATGAAATGAATCATCATCAATTTGCAAATTCTGAACACATTTTTAATGACCACTAAATCCCTGTGATTTTTACTTTCCACAGTAATTAGATAAAACAGAAAAACACACCTTTCAGCTTTTCATGTGTATTAAAACTGGGTTTTTATAAAGATCTAGACTGTAAATGCGCCCATCTCTAAAGCATTTGGGTCAGATTCTGTTCTTTAACACTAGACCCACCAAAGGGGTCATTTTGGGTTAATTTGACCCCCTTGGTGGTTGTAGTGTAACTCTGTTAGACTAAATTCTCATATTTCATGACTTTTCCTATGGCCTCATTCATCCAACACTGAATCTTTGGCTGTGTGAGATAAAAATTAATAATAATTATGCCCATTTATCCTTTGAATCACCACGGACATCTTTTTGAGCTGATGGAAATGAATGTAAAAACTGCTACTGCGCACACCATGTTGCCTAGCAACACAATTGTTTACCCACATTTTGACATTAAGCCTGTTATAACATGATATAATACCTGTCTGACCAGTCTGCCAGCCAAGCTCTCACTGTGGTTGTACAAACACCAGAAATGACTAAAGCTAATTGATACCAACGCTGGTATTGGTACAGGATCGATCCTTTGTTTATATCCTCTAAGTTCAGTATGTAGCGCACTGAATTGTGTTACATTTATTATTATTATTACTGAAATGAAAAAAATATACTTCAAATATTGAAAAAGTACTATGAAAAATATCTGAGTGTTTTTCTGCTGATTGCCAAATTCATTTTATTTATAGCCTATAGCACATTTAAACAACAGAAGCTGAGAGCTTTATAGGCATATTTACATTCCATGTCTCCAAAAACATAGATCAACAGAATAGCAGGGAGTATGGCAATGTTTTATTTCTGTCTACACACAGCCAGCTCCTCTGTTGGCAGACCCAATTATATCCAAGCCTGGGAAAATCCCTCTAATGCTTTTGTACCGCGTGCTGTCTAGCGATGATGGAAAATATGCTGCTATCATTGATGGTCGGTCATATGACTGTTAACCATGTCCCTCCCACAGAAGCCTCCTCAGATGTCACATACAGCGGTTGGTAGTCACACAAACCTGCCAAATGTTCCTACCCAGTGTAAAGTATTGTTCCAGTCCTCATTGGTGTTCAGCACATCAGCTTTATTATTGTTTGGATTTTCTATGATTTTTTCCATGATGTTTCGCTCTTTCTCTTAAGTTTTAATTATCTATAATATTATAGTTCTAGTGTTTTAATATAATTTGGGACATATATGTATAGAAAAAGAAGCTCGGAATAGGTTTGTGAAGGAGCATGATTCACAGTCATGTGCACATCTCAGTCTTAGTGCTGGATGTGTTGACAGGTTTGAACAATATGACCTGATTAGAGACCAGAACTAAAGACATTTTCTGCTTCATTTAGTTAGTTTTGTAAGTGCTGTTTCAGTTATAGTCCATTTTGTTGTATTGCTAAAGTGTATTTCTTTTAATTCAAATGTTTTTTTCTCTCCACGCCTGTTTTTGAGTTGACTATAATAACATTGCTTCTGATGCACCACACACACACGAGAAAAGTGAGTTAGTGCAGTCTTTTTTTCTAGTACAGGGCATGACTGATGCCGCCAATCAAAACTCAGTCTGTGCTGATATTTTTTTTAACTAAAAGCACATCTTTCACCAAAGCCAGTGCTGTATTTTTCCAGTTTTCAGAAACTGATTTGTAATGTAATGTAATTCGTTTTTCCTCTTTCCTCATGCATTACCTCTAGACAAGTTCCATGAAATTTGCTCTAGTAGTTCTTGCACACTCTTGCTGACAAACAGAAGTGCAAACAGCACATACCCACATAGTTTCAGCAAAGGAAAAAAATGCACCATCCCCCCAGAAGGCCAAAACCTAGATTCTTATCCTGGGCCTGTACAGGACGAAGCTAAAAGATGAGATAAAAGCACTGCTCTTTGCTTTTGGCCTCATTTTAGTGGTGAAATTGACAAACATGTCTGCATTTAATAATAGTAATACCACTACTACGAATAATGGCAAAGACCTAATTTTTAATGGCAAAGACATCAACCCACTGTCTGCCCATTTACCAAGTTAGAAAAAAAACAAACAAATGTGGTGGATATCTTCTTGTTAGTACTCAGTTTAAAAACAGATAAGCTCCTTTTTTTCACTATTCACAATAAAATTTGCTGGTTTTTACCCTGAAAAAATGCAACACTTTAAGTGGATTCACACATATTTTATGTTGTTGTTGTTG